TTTTTATTTCATCAAAATTATGGAAAAATAGTTAATTTATTGATTTTTTTCTAATTTTTTTCAATTTATCATCATATTGTAAAACTCGTTCTCTGGAACTTTTTTAAAACGTGTTTTAAAATATGAAAAGGATAAAGTTAGAATAAAATCATTAATGATCCATTTTTTTTATATGCAAAATGATTTATAAAAAAGATCATAAATTTTTTATAGAATGTGATTTATATATGAGATTAGAGTAAGTAGAATAGACACCCTCAGATGTAATGTTATTTAAAATGGACTTGAATCTTCTTAATCATTCAAGTTACAAAAAAGATACCCATAATGATTTCATCAAAAAAAGATACCAATAATAGAAATCACTTGTGTATGTCAGTATGTGAGCTCAATTTAAAATAAGTTGTATTATTTATTATTAATCAACAAGATTTACATGCACAATATCTCAATTTATAGCATGAGCGAAAGGAGCTCTTGCTTATTCCATAAAATGTATATGGAGAGCATCACTTTAGAAAATACAATCCCTTCAATGACACAAATGCTATGTTTGGATACACATAGAGTTGGATTTGAATTTGCACCAAATTTATTGTTTGGGTAATTAAAAACGTATGGATATGAATTTAATTCAGATCTAAATCTAAGTTCTACCTTAATTTTTTTATAATTTAAAATTCTTTCTATATCTTTATTATTTCAAATCCTAACTCAATCTCTTTTGTACTTTGACCCAAATTCATAAAGGCTTGATTGATCGATCAACGGTAATTCAACCAAACAACCTAAGTTGACAAAAACATGTTGTTACCATTGACTGACCATTGACTTCTACCGAGATCGAACAGACAACGATGATTGGGACAGGACGACAGACTTACACCGAATCGGACCAACTACGATGATCGGGATGGGACGGTAGATTGGATATGGTGATACCTTGGGAAATTAAAAAAAAAAACACTCCTTCCATATCACAATATATAAGTCATTGTTAATTAATTTATGTTTCTAAAAAAAGTTAGTTGAAATTTTAATTTTCTAAAAATTTTCTTGTCTTTTCAATTACATCTAATGTTCTATATTTTGAATCAAATAAAGCTTTTAAAATAAGATTTATATTGTGGCACTGGAGAAGTAGATGGTTGGAGCTCCCATGCTTATGACCCAAAACTATGAGAAAAATTTGAAAAGGAAATTTAGAGAGAGCGTAGGAAATGTTGAAGGTTCTAAATTAATTCAATATTTAATTAAAACTCTTTTGTTTAGGAAATAAGTTTTTTAGTGTCACCCACAAAAAATAGGAAATTTCTGACACACGAAAATTAATGGCAAAATCCATCACAAAAGAAAATAGTGACTGATTTTGCGATGGAAAACATGAAGGGAAAATTGCTATTAGTGTTGTTCCTTGTTGATTGGTGTTTAAATTAAACTACCCTTCTTTTTCTTTCACCGGTTGTTTGGCTTTTGTTAAAATTACAAAAAGTTAGATATAGAGAAAAAGGTTGAACATTTATTGGTGAAGATGATACAACATTGCACTATAATAATCCTTTACTTGAAGGATTTATAACCACGATTCATCTTTTAACTACAAGTGAGATGAGAATTAATTCCCACGTGGGTGAGATGAGATTAACACAATATGCCTCTCTGTCCAAATGCCTAACCTTTAAATGTGTGTGTATATAATTTTAAGCTAACAACTAATCATGATTAACTAATTATTAATTGTGATTAACAATTAATATTCCAACACCCTCAAATTGACACCTCCTTAACTTTAGATGCTCAATCTGTCAACAACAACAACATTTTGAAATATTAACCATACAATTTATTGATCAACTAGATCAATACAAACATTATACACTTCACAATGCTTATCATTTTCTACTCTCTCTTCATGAACAACTCTTCTTCATCAACTTACTCCCCAACAAGCCTGTGTGCATCCATTGAAATGTTGAATGTAGTTGCAGTGGGTTTAAGCCCTTTAGCTTTCATCTCAATGAAAAAAAAAAAAGCCTTCAGCTTCTTCTACATAGTTGGATTAATAAAGGGTTAATATATGATTTAAACCCTGAATTATAGGTCTATGGGTAATTTAAACCCTAAATTTTTATTTGATACATTATAAATTTGAAATAATTAAAATTGAGGTAATTTTGCTCATGTCATTAAATTTAAACAAACGGTCGTTAGTTTTTAAAAATAAGGTTTAATGTGTAATTTTTATCAAATTCCACACTCTTTTCCCTTTTGAAAAAAAATCACACATTAAACCCATTTTTTAAAAAAGTAACAGCTGTTTGTTTAAATTTAATAGTGTGATAAAATTACTCTAACTTTAATTATTTAAAATTTAAAATATATTAAATAAAAGTTTGGGGTTTAGAAAATTTTAAACCTATAATTCAAAGTTCAAAGTACATATTAATCTTTTTATAAAATGTCATATATCTTATAAAGTATATTATTTGTACTGTTCATTTACAGCGAGATGAATAATTCAAGATCCTTATACTTTTTTAAAAAAATTATATGATCCAAGATCATGCAAGACTTTCCATGAAAAAAATGAGTGTGGGATCCATAATAAAAATGAAATACTATTAGATATAAAGTTCATATTAAAAATGTTAGGTATGACTCATGAGACATTATTTATTACTTGTATTTTTTGTGTGTATGAGACAATAAATTGTGAAGGTGAAAGAAATTGCAGGATAAAATAAAAATTTAAATAAATAACAAAAAAATAGAACATTTTATTTTTAAAATTTTAATTTATTTGGGAATAATCTTCAAATAATAAAGTGTTTTAAATTTTTTTAGTACATACGGGGCAAAAATAATTTATATATAGTTTTTTAAATATGTAAAGGTATTTATTTATATTTTCAATGATCAATATGCATAGATAAAAAAATTATAAAATAAAAAAGTTTAAAATTTATTTATATACAAATAATACATAAATTATAAATTATAAATTTAATTTATACGTCTACTGTTAAAAAATATGAAGTATTTTTTGAGAGGTTTGATGTTAAAAAATATAACATTTTTAAGGGTTTTAAAGTGCAATTAATACATTTCAAAAATGTTGTTAATAAATAAAGATGATATTAATTTAAAAATAATTAATTAATTTATTAAAAATGAGACTTGGTTAAAAATGTCAAATAATTTTTAGTTGGGAGAGTGCATAGGAAACAATGATAGCTAATAATATTTGTTGGAGGGCAAATATTCTTATTCAATTAATGATGGGGTGCTGAACTTAATAAAAAAAATTTAACCTGATTTCCAAATTCCCCTCACATTAATTATAGGAAAAGCACAAGTATTTACAAATATTGATAATGTCTTGAACATAATTCTCTAACACTGATGCACATGAATGAATCGGGAAGCCAAGCCAAGCCACCATAGGGGGGTTAAAAATGAAAATTTATCTGAAAATGGGAGCTAAAATTGATTTCAACATTTTTAATAAATAAAAATAGACATATTTACAAAAGAAGGGTTTATAATATGGTAAGCACCCCTTAAATTTGTTTTTGCCTATACATAAAGAAAGAAAATATTCTCGTGCATTGCATGGGTAACATTTAATGAAAAAAAAAAAAATTCTGATGCATTGCGTGGGTAACTTTTTGTTATAAAAAAAATTAGAAAAGCTGTTTTACATTAAGCAAAGGAAAAGGTGTAGTTTAATTTTAATGGAGGCTTGTCTGTTGGGGAAGAAAAGTGGAACCCTACCTTGCTCATGTTCTCAGTTAGAACTTTTTTTAAGAAGAATTTAATCATTTTATTTTTATAATTTTAACTCAATTCTATTATTAAATTTTAATTTTATGAAAATTAATTTTTATAATTTTAACTTGATACAACGCAACTTTTAAACTCATTGCAGTAATTTGAAAATTAATCCTTAAATTTTTTTAAATTTTTATTTATTATAATATTGATATCAATATTTTAAATAATTAAAATTATAAAAATTAAAGTGCAATTGACTCAATATTATAAAACTTGAGCTAAATATTCAAAATCCAAGGGTTTAATTACAAAATCAAAGCTATGTATATTATTTTTTTTTTGACCAGCCAGTTTTTACTCCCTCTAGACAATAATATATATTCTAGAAGCTTTATTTAATTTAAATATAGAATATTGAATAACTTTTATTATTAATTTTTTAAATTATACCCTTACTTCATTTATTATTCTTTTTAAAAAATAATGTATTAAAATTTTAATTGTCATTTTTAAGACACTTATATATAATATTTAATGAGAATATAATTTAAAAAATATAATTTTTTAAAAATTTAAATTTCAACTAATATTTTTTGAGAAGCATGAAATAGTTACCAATGGTCAAAATTATAATCCAAATTTGGGTTTCAACTAAATTTAGGTTTTAAAATTATAAGGATTGAACTGCAGTTAAAATTCAAGGTTTAATTGCAGAGCCAAAAGTATATTAATTTTTTCTTTTTTCTTTTTTACTAATTTTTACTTTTTATGATACTTTTTTCGTCTTAAATTATAAAATAATTATTATTAGATAAAATTTTATATACTAATAAATCTTATTAAATATATTTAATAACTTTATCTTTTTAAAATAAAAATAAAAATTTCTCAAAATACCTATCATGTAATATATTGAAAAGAGAAGTGATGAAAATTAATCATAGAAAAATAATAATATTAAAATTGATATATTTATTAAAATTTTAATTTATTTAAAATATTTTATATTTTCAAATAAAAAAAATTTTTAAAAATATTTTATAATTTAAAATGAAGAAGTAATGAATAAATGTGCCGAAGTGTCACTGGAAACATGTCAGGATTGTCATGCTCTTGCATTTTTCAGTCTGCATGAGATTGGTGAGATTTTATCAGCAAACCATACATTCTAAGTTAACCATTTTGCTTGTTAGTCCAACGATGATCTCAGCCGTTCATACAGTACAATCCCAACCGTTAGCTTTTCCCCCAATGGTGTCCTCTACTGCGCTAGGTCGCCCTCCTCGACATTCTTCTCTCCCCGTCAGTTTTCCTCTGCCGGACTTCTATGCCGCTTAGTGGGCTGCTTCGCCGGATCTTCTTCTTCTGAACTTTTGCATGAAGTCGTCAAGGAATCAAGGGCAAGACGTTGAACACTTCTGTCACGGACGGCGGTCACGAAGATATTGCGAAGAGGAAAGATGAAATAGGTATTCTAATTTTGTTACCTTTCGATGAATTTCCATATGCGAATAGGAAAATGCCCGTCGCTGTAATACTTGGTTCTTTACATGATAACTGCAATTTCCCCTCCATAGCATGATTATATACGTAAGGTTGTGCTCTCCAGGGTTAATGTCGTTCAATTTCGACTTTGAACGGTCTCACAAGTCTCTGTTTGTGTGGCTAATAGATGCATTGGTTTTCCTGTAAATTGGTTGTATATTCATTTGATATGTTATCCACATATTCATGTTATCAAGGAACAAACTCGTTTTTTAGGAGAAGGGGGCGTAAATTCAAGGCCATACATTTCGGACCATTTTCACTTCTCAGTCATCTTAATCTCCTCAAAATATTGCGACAGCTGTAAAAGTCCTTAGCTTTTGTCAACGACTTCCCGCTCCCTCTTTTTTACCTCACTAAGCCTACCTGTTTTTTAGCTCCTGTTTCTGAAACTAATCTTTTCTACTCTCTCCACTTCTTAATTAATATTTGTTTTGTGGTTTAGCTCATTCGTCATTCTTTAATCTTGCTATTCTAATTGAGTGGTTGTTTGAGGTGTTGAATATTCTCTTGGAAGAATGGGAGCAGCAAGAGCTACTGTAAGAGGGGTTGATGTTTTCTGTTTTACCAAACAAGAGATTTTAATGTTCAGTTTGCTTCTTCTCGGGGCAAAGAAAAAATACATGCCTGAAGCCACACTTCTTTAGCATCTCCCAAACAGCAAATCGTAGACCACGTATCACATCTTGGATTCATAAGTAAGCTCGAGTTTATGTTTTGGCCACAGTAACTACTAGTGATTGGATAGGAGGACAGAATCTTAGTGTGGGAGGTGTTAAAACACTTGGTCCTATGCGAATTATATAGAAGATAGATATATTAATGTACTCAGTTGGAGCTCCATGTCTCGTGTTATGCTACATAAGTCCCACATTTTCTTTTGAGAGTTATATAAATCTTTATGTACTCAGTTGGAGCTGCCTGACTATTAGCATTTAGTTAGAATATGCAAGTCCCACGTTGTTTGTATCAAAGCTATGTAGCCTTTAAAGTACTATAGATGCAAGCAACACAAGCCTCCCTTTACCATATATTTTCAAACCATTCAATCTTTTTCTTTAATTCTTTACATGGTATCAATTGTCAAAGCTTGGTGAGAGAGAAGAGCTAGTCTTTTGGGGTTTCTGTTTTGGGGAAGCCTTGTGCAGAACTTTGGCAGATCTCCTGCCCCTATTCTGGAGGGTGTTTGATGACCATCTCCGTTGGTCCTCTGGCCCCTTCTCCAATGGATGTCCAGCGGCCAGCCACCATCTCATGTAGTCATCTACCAACTTGTTTATCAATTTCCCAAAAGAAATACTTCATCAATCCTCTTGTTTTTATATACTTAAATAGAACTGACTAGTAGTCATTCTGCAGATTCTTCTTATGGTAAACCTGAAATTATGGCTGCAACATACTATGAGGCAAATTCCAAGCCATAATAGAAGCACATTTACAGATATTTGCAAACCTGTTTAAAGAAAATTCTGAAGTTTCCTCTTTCCCCTGGAATCCCTCAGTGAAAGGGGGTTTTTAATTGAATGGTAATCATAAGTGCAGAGAGATCTGGGAAACTTCGGATTTTTTGAGGGTAGTGTGAGATGGAATGGGTGCTTTTACTAAGGGATCTGTGAACAGTATGTGTGGTGGGTCAGTAACATGTCACTAAAATGGATGGACTAATCAGCAATTTCTGTAATCTTACAATAAGGGGAAGGGAATAGTTTCCAGCCCATTATTTTCCCTTTCATTTCCCTCATTCGTTCCTCTTCCAATTTACTCAAATTAATAGAATGATAATAGTAGTCTAATAAAAAAAGAGGGGCTGGTTTACTGTTGTAAACAATTTAGAGGGACCAAAACTACAATGAATCCTTCACTTTTTCCATCTCCCTTTCTCCCTTGAAAAAGCACCAACTGATGTTTTATAGGAATGTCCTGTTTCCTTACATTATATTGGCTAGTTGACTTCAAGAATTGTATCATTGTTGCTTAACAATTCAATATCTGACTTGCATTCTGTTGACCTCATGTTTCCTATTTCTTACTATCTTGGCTTTCTATCAAGCCATCTGGAAATGGCTCAACAAAGTGTAGATTCTAAAACTGAGCCTGGTCCAGGCGGCTCTAAAACGGGCTTGCCTAGTGATAAGCTACTAACTGCTACAGTGAAGAAGACAGCATTGAGAGAGCTGCCGAATGATAACAAGGTCACAGTTTCAGCCTCTATTGGAAGCTCTTCAATTTTAAAGGACAAGGGCTGCTGTACTGATTCTAAGAGAGTTTCTGGCACCAAGAGACCCTCTTCTGAGTTCCCAATGAATCACCATCACCCGCAGTCTCCAGGAAATAATGCTGGAAATGGACATCTTGTTTATGTCCGTAGAAAAGCTGAAACAGACTTGGGGAAGAGTTCTGCTTCTGGGAATCCAAGTATTAATGCCTATTGTCCAATTTCAAGTTCCAGGCAACCTGGTGAAGATGAAATTGCTCGACCAAAATCCGAGATAAAGGAGCCAAAAGTCTCTTGTTTTCCTGCTTTTGCACCTTTTCCAATTACTCCTTCAGTGAGCTCATCTGGAAAACCTTCAGTTCCTTTTTCAATTGGGAACTCTGCTATGAGGTTAGCAACAGTCGAGTCCAGTTTTGCAGCAGCTGGTCCTACTATTGGCCATACAATAGGATCAAAAAATGCACACTGGGAGGAGCGATACCACCGATTGCAGATGTTTTTGAGGAAATTGGACCAATCTGACCAAGAAGAATATATCCAAAGTATGCCTATTACCTGACGAGCATGCCTTAAAGTGCTTTCTATTCTTAAATTCTATATATATGATATTTTCCTTTGTTTGATAGTGCTTCAGTCAATCTCCTCAATTGAGCTCAGTAGACATGCTGTTGATTTGGAAAAGAGATCAATTCAGCTTTCCCTGGAGGAAGGTAATTAAACTTGATGCTTTATTTCTGTCTCTTCCATATTCATGGCTGAAAAAGGTTTCCCCCCCCCCTAAACTGGGTTAGGCAATTGGCATGGAATGGTGAACTAGGTGTAAGCTCAAAATCCTTTGGACTTGGAATACATTTGATGTCTCTTTCAATCGCTGCTTTTACTCCCGTATTTTCATTTTCAGAATGTCAGAATGTTGTTCACTTACGCATCACACTACTAGTAATGCGGTGTTCCTAACAATATGACATCTGTTTTCTGCTGTTCTTGCCATGTGCAGGAACTCTGAGATGTTTATTATGGTCATCCTTCATACATTTCATTTGGTCCAAGTGGCACCTATCGGCATTGCCAAACTTTTGTGTGCATGCTTTCTTATCAAAGAGAGGAAAAGGAGAGATGTTTATTTGTGTGCGTGCGTGTGAGAGGGAGGGAGGGAGGGAGAGGGAGAGAGAATCAGCTCCCGATTTGCCTTTTAATATTAGCATATCATGTATTTTGAGATACTAGGTAGCTGAAGATTAGCTTGCCTGCATTGCTATCCAAAGAAAAAGCAGTCAGCTCCTAATTACCTTTTAATGCTAGCAACATCACATATATTATTAAAACACCAGGGTGCTAATGAATTTTCTGACATTTTCAACTGTGATGATGACAGCTAAAGAATTGCAGCGTGTGGCTGTTTTAAATATCTTGGGGAAATCATTGAAAAACCTCAAAGCACCAGCAGATAATCACAACAGTGCAGAGAAGAAGGCATCAACATAAGGAATGCTTGATTGTATATTTCAGTAGCTTTGAATTTTTTCTTTGATCTTTCTGTTGATCAATTGGATTTACATGCTGGGTTTTTCACAGTGAAGAAAGGCCCTTGGCTGTCAAAAGAGGAAAAACGGGGATTAACTGCTTTTAGTGTGTATTTTATTTATAGCGATTGTTTACCCTTCATTGCTATTCATTAAAATGTCAATTCTCTGCAATATGTTTCAATGGATAAATAATTGTTAACTCTAACAATTGATGTAAGTAATACATCTTAAACTTGAATCTCAGTTCTTTAATCTTTAATTTCTTGCAGGTATTTTCCTGTCTATCATAGACAATTTTATTCATCGTTAGGTATTAAATGAGAACATCTCTTTTAATAAGAATTTAAACATTATTTTATCACGTTATCAAAGATTAATTCTTTTGTTAGACTTAATTTTCGTTGGTTTCCTTAATTTTAAAGGGCTATTGATGACATTTTGAGAAAATTTTATGATGCTAGGGATCTGATTCTAGGTCTTTTTATGCAATAATTCTAGTGTAACAGTAATAATATAGTGTAACAGTAAAGCTTAAACAAATCGAACAACTTAATGCACAAATACATCAATAAAGCCAAGGCTAACCCCATTCAAAGAAACAAATGAAACACTGCAAGAATTGTTTGGTTAATCTTGCAAGTGGCATGACCAACTAATTTCTTAAACCAGCTAAGCTTGGGGTTAGGGTGCCAAAGGTGGAAATAATATAACTTGTAGTGAAAATTGAAAGAGCTAGCAATAAACAATTTATAAACAGAAAAGAAGTTAATAAATTTGCCCTTATAATTTACTTAAAGTTTAGGTTAGGTTGTGGGAGCTCATCAAAGTAAGGCATGCCTTAAGCTTGAAGAATGTTGATAGAATTCATCCACCAATAAGGTCTTCATATCAATAATAAGATTTGAATCCATAACTTTAAGAATTATAGGTTAAATTTTTACCAACTTGATTAAATTTTGTTGGTAGATTCTTATATTTTTAGCTCAATCTACATGGCATTAGTGGGCTTCAAAAAATTAATTGAGGCTAACAGCCTAACATGTAACATGGAACATATAAACTACGACATAATACAATATATATATATATATATATATAAAATTTAAACGTAACATATAGAAAAGAAAGCATCAGATTTATATAGAAAAATAAAAGCATCTGGTTGTGATAGAAATCATTGCTCCACCATGATATGGGGATTTTCTATAATAAAAAATTTAAGTGTAAAAATCTACCAAAGTCAAAGCATGCCTCAATATGTGAATTCTATCATGGCGTAGATCTCTATTGCCCCCCCCCCCCCAAAAAAAAAAAAATAACAACAACAACAATAACATTTGCAAATCAATGATTTCAATGCTTCAAATATTATTGAAAACTCCCACCCTAGATATTTTCTCTTTGATTTTTGAACAAGTTTTATGACAAAATAATTTTAGGTGATGTTTAAATTGATGGATTTGAATTTTAATTTTAGATTTAAAATATTATATTTTTAAACCTCACATTTAATTTGTTTAGATAGTTTAAAAAATTTGAAATGAAGAAGAGAGATGAATTGAGATTCAAAGGAAAAATAAAAATTAAAATGACAAATTCCTTTTTATTTTTAATTAACAAGAAATGATAAAAGAACAAAAGTTATAGAGGCTTCAATAGTGAGAACACAAATAGAGCAAGATATTTAAAGTGATTATAATTTTAAATGACCAAGGTGTAGAGAAAATTTAAAATTACAAAGGAATTATGATTTAAATGGATTTGGATTTGAATCAAATTTAAATTTATGAAATTTTTTGTATCCAAATAAAAGATTTGATCTAAATAACAAGTTTATTTCTATTTTTTAATTAATAAGAGATGAGAAAATATAGAAAAGTTATAGAGGTCTCAATAGTGAAAATGTGGAGAAAAAAATGTTTAAAGTAATTAGAATTTTAAATAACTAGGATGTAAAGTCAATTTAAAATTACAAACAACTTATAATTTGAAATAGATATAGATTTAAATCAAATCTCAATTCATAAAATTTTGTGTATCCAAATGATAGATTTGATTCAAATCCAAAACAAATCCAAATCTTCATTATCCAAACACACCTTTAAATTAAATGAACAATAATATCTTAGACTAAATCCACCATCAACTTCAAAATTTCAGGCAATTAAAAGGGAAAATTATAAGTAAGGATATGGAGGAAATAATATTTATAAAAAATGATCTTAAAATTAGTAATTATTTAGAAAGACCAAATACTAAAATATAAAGGGAAGATTACACCTAACGATCCAGATGAAATAATATTTATTAGAAAGGATCTAGCATTGACGCAGACTCACAGCCTTGATATGATAACAAAATATGAAAAATAAATTTAATAGAATCAATTGATAATTAAAGCTCAAATGCAAATTTGAATTTAAAGTTAAAAATTCGAAGCTATTTGCTTAATCTTATGGTAATGCTGATATATGAATGTTAGAAGTATCCAATAATTATCTGATAAAGGCCTTTGAGGGATTGAAGTTCAACCTACAGTTCCTAACTTTTATAGGAGTTTTTTCTTATCTCCATGGAGGCTTGGACTACTCTGCTTTGTTTATTAAACATATTTGACTTGATAACATTGACTTTAGCTTAAACACGATGCTTAACCATCATGTATGAAGCAAATTTAATTAAAAGAATTCACGTATTACCTTCATAATCACAGAAAGATTAGTCTCACCTACTAATACAGGTCACAGGAATTAGATGATAAAGTTATAGTGAGAATAGAAGTCAAGAGTTCAAATACTTTTAACATATCAAAAAGAATAAAAATTTAGGTAACATTCTGTAATATATTTTTTTTCTTGCAGTTAAAGAAACATTATGAAGAATGGAAAATATTTATACATTGATATTATAATATGATTTTCTGATATGATCTTGATTGCTAAATATTTTTTTAGTTTACGTGAGAATGTTTCGTGAGATTTTATCACTATTTCAAGAACTGAGTACAAGTTGTGACCAGTGATTTGATTGTAAAATAATGTGATTCAATATCTCTTGTGATCATCACATGTCATCATGTTGAATCACATTTGACTATAATTGGCTTGGAAAATAATCTCATTGAGGAAGTATTATTACTTTGCTGCTAATCTTAAATCATTTTACTAATCTTATATCACTTCAATAAAGCTTGTGTTTTAATATAGTTGACATTTTTTCATCATAAATAATTTATAATACCTTTCTCTCTATGACACACAGATATCAATACATGTGTCGGATATGATAGGTTGATACTTTGATTTTAAAAAATATAGGATACATTTTTTATACATGCATATGTATATATTATATAATCATAAAAAATAGTTAAAATATAATTTTAATTCAAAAAATATCTAAATTAGTATACATATATAGTCCTTTATAACAATACTAAGCAAAATATAATTATTAATTATACTTTTATTTTATCTATAATTAATTATCCACCACCATAGTCCTTACTAATAAATATAGTGTCAATATCTTCTTTTTGACTATCATATGAAAAAATAATAACTTTTATGTCTAATTTGTCAAGATATAAATATGTCACTTCCAAAATTTTAGCATCATCAAAGTTATCCCATTCATCTCCACTAATGTCCCAAAAATGATATTAGTAATAAAAAGTTAAATATCACAATCTTAAAAAAAATTAATTTCTTAAAATTTTTCTTGAAGCATCAACCCACAATCTAAAAATATCATATGCATATTAAAAAATAAAAATTTTTAAATTAAAAAAAATAATATTTTGATATTTTATATATGCATATCGATAAGTATCAAAATTAGATACAATATTTATACAAATACGTGAAGCAATTTAATAGCTTTCTTCATTTTAACAAGTCAGCTTATATTATACAAACTTTATTCTCATCAATCTTGACATCATTTTGTATAATGAATCCCAAATGCATCAAGTATTGAGGTTATCTTGGTAAAAAAAAAAAATTCAGGAAATTAAGTTAATATATATATATATATATATTAAAAATTTTGAGACTTAAAATTTTAGTTTCTTACGAAGTCTTAATTTTATAAAATTAAACAATACCATTTATTTTTTGAAAGAATGATAAATAGATTCCAAGGGAACCTATTAATTTTAGTTAAGGAGAATTTCAGTTAAGGATTATTACAGAGTTTTAATTTTATATGGGTTTAAATTTTTTTTGAAATTTCAGTTTAATTATTTAGTGAAAAGTCAAAAAAAATTTAAATAATGAAAAAATTAAAATACCCTTAACTTATTATGTAAAATTTAGTTATTTTTTTTATTTCACTTGTTTATTAATATTACTTGTAAATTATATTATTTATTAAATAATCAGTAACATTTGTTATAAATTTGCTATCTTTACTTGTTAATTTACTAAATCAATTGTAAATTACAAGACTTATCAGTAATTAACAATTGATGTTATTAAATTAACAAGTAAAGTTAGCCATTTAACAATTAATATTGCTACGTATAATGAAAAAATTAATGTCAAGTCTTATATAATTATTAATATGTTAACTCATGAAGTTGTAATTTATATTCATAAATTAACAATTGAAATAAAAATAATTAACAACTAATGATTCTATGTAACAAGTGAAGGGTATTTTATTTTTTTATCGTCGAAATTCTTTTAACTTTTCTTCTTTACAATGAATTAAAATTTTAAAATTTTTTTGGATCCACATAAAATTAAATCTTTATAGTGATCCTTAGTTTCAAAATGTCAAATTTTAAAAATTTATAAATTTAGTTCTTAATTTTTGTAATTTTATTGTACTGAATTTATAACTTATTTTTTAAATTTTAATATAATTAAAAAATAAATAAATTTATTTTTATTAAAATTTAAAACATAAATTATAAATTTATCATAATAAAATTATAAAATTAATATTTTAATTTATATATTTTTAGAGCTTGATATTTTAAAATTTTATTTAAATTAATTGATCCCTCGAACCTGCATGTCATGCTCTTTTATTTCTGTTTTCCGCCTGGAAAACGTGTATGATATTGATTTGTCAATAAATATTAAATATATTTATTAGTTTTGCAGTGCTGGACCCGATATTAATGGATTCATTTCATTGCGGATAGATATTTATTAGTTTCTCGTTTTCGCCGGTTACCCGTTACTCCAATTTCTTTTCCCCTGCTCTTTCCCTTGCTTGCGATTCAATCGAAAGGTATCTTCATCGCTGGATTCAGAATTCGAACTGAATCCTCTGCTTCGTTGAAATGGGTCTCTTTGATTCCTTACTTAACTGGCTTCGTAGGTATGCTCTTTCTTCACCTTCTTCTCTCTTCATACTCTCATGTTAGGAATTGGGATAGTCCACAAAATCTAATCTACTATGAAACCACCTCGAAATTCCCTTTTGAAGCCGACCGGTGAAAGAAAAACTTCGATCAAACTTGGTGCTACTTCTTGGATATGAAATATGGTGCATAGATGTTTTGGGCAAAAAAAAAACAAAAACAAAAGAAAAAAGATTTTGTCTTATAAACGATGAACCCTTTGGGAACCTTGATCTGAAGTCCAAATTATTCGCCTTGTAGCTTCACAACAGAGCCCATTGAAAATGAAAACCTTCAAAATGATGGGAAAGCCCCTTCCTTTGATCATAAAATTTAGCAAGACTACTTGGATTTTGATCATTTGGTTAACTTAGCATTAACAACTGCATTATAGGCCTGCAATTTGTTGTCATTCTTCTGGCCGCTTCGGCAAAATAAGTATTGGAAAGTTTTGGATGTTCTTGCAAACTAAGAATGGAACCAATTTGTGCTTTTACAGTAAGTACTTCCCCATGAATGAGACAAAATATTGTTCATAGAGGCTGTCTAGTTATTCTGAAGTTGGAACAATCTTCAACTGCACCCATAACCTAAGGCCACTATTTTTATTATTTTGAGCATAATTGGATTTGGGCGTTTAATTGTTCGCGTTGTTTAACATAGATAGATATTCTAATTTGGCGCTGAAATTGGATTTTTTGTTGTTGTTGCATCTTTAGTCTAAAAAGTAGTGACTTTTTGTTGTTTCAATGCCAAGTTGTTTTAGCCGCACTACTGGATGCAACATTTATCCTGCAGTATATTGATACATTGCTATCATAACTTAACAATGTGTGCACCTCTAGTGGTTAATATGAAGTTACTAAGGCAACCAACAAGCTTTTGAAGGAAATTTCTTCTTCTTTTTCTCCGTTCTTCTGGATGAAATGTCACCATCAGGTTACATTAATATGTTAATCTACGGGGAAAGTAATGTTTCGGTCCATTAAGTTGCTTATTTACAAACAGGTCATTTAACTTCTAGTTCAAATAGCGTGTATTCTATACTATCATCTTCATTAGCAGGCTTGGTTGACAGATCAAAGCATCTTATATGGTTGACAAAGTCAGACAGTTTATGATGCATATGATGTGAACTGAAATATGAATGACCAGTTTGATACAATGCAACCTAAAGGGACCAAACTATCAATTTGACCAATTATTGAATCTCAAAGACATGGCATTTTATGTGACGAGTTTCTTGTAGGCATTGGGACCTAGGCTGGGGAGATCTTACATTTAAGTACTAAATGTATTTACTTTGCTCCATGAGTGATTTATGTGGATATTATCAAAAGAAAAAGGGAAAATATAATTTTGGGTCCCTGCATTTTACTCGAGTTTTACTATAGGTCCCTACACTTTTTTTCCAGTGGTCTAGGTTCTTGACCTAGGTTGGAGGGACCTAGAACACTGAAAAAGAAAAAAAAAATACAGAGATCTATAGCAAAACTTGTGCAAAATGTATGGACTCACAGTTATGTTTTTTTCAAAGAAAAAAGACTTTTTTTGGAAGCTGTTGATCAAAATTATGGTCGCACAAGCTTGATATCTAGCATGAGATGTTACATAATTCTAGAGTAATAACATGCTTCATCTTTTTTCTCATCTTTAAAAAAAAAAAAAAATTTGCTGATATTGGTATTCAAATAGTTTCCGCATTTTGACATCCATTCAGGTACTTTAAATGAATATTACATTAAGTGATCTGTATAAGTAGCATAGCACTCATTTGTTTAAGCCCTTTTTTAAATGTAAATGTTCATGTTTGTGCCAGTTTATTTTTTAAGCAGGAGATGGAACTCTCCCTCGTAGGCCTTCAGAATGCAGGAAAGACATCCCTTGTCAATGCCATTGCTGTGAGTTAAAGCAACTGTGAAATTTTGTTTTGTTTATACACGTGTTAATTATTGTCTTTGGCATTGATCTTTTGATGTTTATCAGACAGGGGGCTGCAATGAGGACATGATTCCAACTGTAGGTATCTCTATTCCGTACAAAATTTGAATGACATGTTTGAAGGTTGTAGAGATGTCATAGAAACCCATTCCTGCTATGGAAACCCAGGTTGGATTCAACATGCGAAAGGTGACAAAAGGTAATGTCACAATAAAGCTTTGGGACCTTGGAGGACAAAGGAGATTCCGAACAATGTGGGAACGATACTGTCGTGGTGTTACTGCTATATTGTAAGCCTTTCTCTTGGTATTATCCCTTTACAAATTATATACATACAAAAAAGTAGTATATGTAATGCAATTTTAAATGTAAACTTACTTTCCTTCTACTTGTTTCAAAAGGCGTTAGCTTTTAGATTAGAGCGAAACCAGCCTGAATGTAGATTAACGATACTTCTTGATAATTTTGACACCAAACAAAGAATGATTACATGCAAAGACAAATTTTATATTTTAGGTGGTGCAAAATATGAATGTGATACCTAAACGAGTAAGCTGTTCACAAAGGACCTTGATATGGTTTTAATTTACGTCAACTGTATGCTGCCTCATGCAAATTTCGGAGCTATTTGGTTGCTAAAAGTGATAGAAATGCAATGAATTAAAAAAATAAGAACAAAAAAGAACTAAATTATCCAATCCTTCATAGTAAACATGAAACAAACAATACCACATGTTCAAATCTGAGAATCACCGCACCCACAAAAAACCTTAGGAATCATGACCATGTCAGAGACTAACAATTCTAGAAGTTTAGACTTCCATGAAAATTTGTAGATATTACTTTGATGTTAATTTATGTCTCAAAATTCCTGTACTGCTGTTTTTTCCTTGCTAAAATTTCAAGATGAAGATTAGAAAACCTAACGGTTGTTTAACAGCTATTTTACAAACAGCTAACCTTTTTAAGCTAATTGGGAATAACATTTTTCAATGCTTTTATCTTATATTTCTTTCTTTTGTTGATGAATGCAAACGCAGATATGTAGTTGATGCAGCAGATAGAGACAGTGTTCCTATATCACGTAGTGAGCTACACGAGCTCTTGACAAAACCTTCCTTGAGTGGAATCCCTTTGCTTGTTCTTGGGAACAAAATTGACAAGTCAGAAGCTTTATCCCAGCAAGCATTAGTAGATCAGCTGTTAGTTCAAACAACTTTTCAAGTTTTCTGAATCTTATAGATCAATCGCTTTTGTTATTCAATTTCAGAGCTTTGTTTTTCTTCTTGGATGATTTCAGAGGGCTTGAATCGATAAGAGACAGAGAGGTTTGCTGCTATATGATTTCATGCAAGGAATCCATAAACATCGATGTCATCATCGACTGGCTTATAAAGCATTCAAGAACTGCAACTTGATCTTTTGATCTGTGATGCTATTTCACTTTTAATCGAAGAAGCAAGGTGTCTGCAGAAAAGCCAGAAATCACTTTCTTGAGGAACAAGTTTTCCCTTTGGTTTGAGTAGTGGTTTTGAATAAGTGGTGGCCTTGTGTTCAATGCATTGTTCTCATGTTCAGTAAATTGATGGCGTCATTAACCTGGTTATTATTTTTTATGATTTTATTTTATTTGTCATTTTATTTATGATAGTTAACTTATCAGAAGTTCTGAAGTTAAGATTCTTATTCCCTCTGCTCGTTTATAGTGTTTCTAATGTCAGAACTTAAGGCGTTGGATGATTTCTTTTCTAATAATTGACTACTAATCAAGCTTTCTTAATAATAGTTCAATCCCTTGTGCATGTTACCAAAACTCAATTAAGATCACTCCAATTAATTGAGTCATTGGGTGATGTATATTCCATAGGTCTTCAAATGAACCTATGACCAAAAGTAAACAATACTGCAATGCAGATATCTTAAGTTTGTATTAGAATTGATTTTTTGTTTTTTTGTATTTTCAATGTGTGTGTATAGTTTCATTGAAACAAAAATTTTGTTTTAATTTAATTTAATAATTTTGTGAAAGTATTGTTCATTAAATTCAATATATCTTTTGATTTAATGAAAAGCAGAATTTGTTCTTTTATCTTTATTTTACGTTCATTTGAAAAATAAAAATTTTTATTTATACATATTTTCTTATTTAAGCTAATTAAAGCCCAAAAAAAATTGAATTGAAGTTACACTATATATTTTAAAATTTAGATTCTGTTACATTATGCACAAAGGATTGATAGGATGGGATTTCAATCTAGCTTAAAGTTTGATTTGTTTTATGAAAAGAATTAAATTAGATAACTTGTAGTCTAGTCTTATTCAAACTTAATCTGAAGTTGAACAAGATCAAATTTAGTTTATAGAATTGAGAGACTGGTTTCAATAGTTCTATATATTTCTTTGTTTTTTCTTATATAAAAACTATTCCTTTCAACCTAATAAATTTAATTGAGATAATAAAAATATTGTTGCCTTGGATAGATGATTTGCTTAATCAACTTGTCGAAGTTGCCCTATTCTCTATAATTGGTTTGAGATCAATCCATCACTGGTTGAGAGTTAAGGCAGATGATGTACCCAAAACTGCTTTCAAAACAAAATGTGGGCACTAAGTTTCTAATAATGCACTTTGGTTTAACAAATGCACCAACAATCTTCATGGATTATATGAACAAGATCTTCAAGCTCTACTTGGACAAGTTTGTAGTGGTTTTTATCAACAATATATTGATATATTCTAGAGATGAGGAAAAACATGTAAGGCACTTAAGAATAGTGCTATAGGTATTGAAAGAGCACAAATTGTATGACAAGTTGAGTGCAAATTTTGGCTATGTTAGGTTAAACTTTTGAGTCATGTCACCACTAAAGGCATAGTAGTGTATCCATATAAGGTTGATGTAGTGTTACAATGGAAAAGACTAACTTCAATAACTAAAATTTGAAGCTTCTTGGATTTAGCTGGTAATTATCAAATGTTCATTCAAGGGTTCTCTCAAATTGCTCTTGCTTTAACTAAGCTGATGAAAAAAGATCAATCTTTTGTCTAGATCAAGAACTGTGAGGAGGCATTCTAGACTTTGTAAGAGAAATTGATTACTTTGCTAGTGTTAAACATTACAGATAAATGCCATAAGTGGTTTACATTTATGCATCACTTAAAGGACTGGGATGTGTTTTGATACAAGGTCACAGAGTCATCACTTATGCTTCTAAATAATTGAGATCGCATGAGGAAAACTGCCTGACTCATGACCTTAAGTTAACAGCAGTTGTGTTTGCTTTTATGGCTCATAATTTGAAGTATTTGATGATCATGAGAGCCTCAAGTACCTGATTGATCAGAAGGAATTGAATATGAGACAGCAAAGGTAGATAGAATTCTTAAAAGACTATAACTTTAGGTTGAAATACCATTCAAGGAAGGCTAATATAGTGGTTGATGTCTGAAGTCGTAAAACACTCCATGTGACATGGATGATGATGCATGGGTAGAAATTGCTAGAAGATTTCTTTAGTAACTATCAGAATAGCCCAAACTTTGCTATGTACAACTTGAATACGATAATAATCACCAATGAGTTTTAGAAAGAGCTGAGAACAACGAATCTATAACAATCTCCAACAATAACAAAAAATATTTCAATTACAAAATTCAACAAACTTTAACATGTCTAAACTACATTACAACAATAAGTTAACAACAAACTTCAACTAATCGTTATGCAATTATCTCTATTAGTATCAATTACACTTGATATATCTATAAAAAAAAATTATATACACATATGCAGAGTGAATGAAGAGAAGAGAGGTAGAAAATTAGGAAATGAACCACATTTAACAATTAGGTCTCAAATCTCACATGCAATGATATAAAAAAATAAAAATAGTTATATTTAAATAATTTTACAGGACCAAATCGAATCAAGTGGTCTGAAAGCTCAATTCCCTATCCAGTTTAATCAAAAGATGAAGTCTAATTGCCTTAGTTCTTTTGGTCAATTTTTTCACAAGACCAAACCTGACCTAATTTGCTTGGGTTGAACAAGGTTGCCAAACTTTTGTATAGCCCTAGTCGAGGTCAAACATTTTTAGAAATCAAGACTCAAAAGTATAAAACATATTAGGTTGGTTTAGATAAAAATTGAAATGAATTGTATAATTTTTTTAAAAAATATATATTATATTTTGTAGGTTGATGCGTCAAATCTAGAATATTTGTCAATATATTTTGAAGGTTCACCTAATTTACTTTAATCATTCTCGCTAAGTACAATTTTAATCATTCATTCACTTCACAAATCAACTGCTTGATTAAAGAAAAATCAGGGTTTAATCATTGGAAACCCTAATCAAAGTCCAGAACTGTCAACCCATTTTTTTAAGAAAGATAATTATCTACATTCAAATATAAACACATTTGCTCTTCCAGAAAATAAATAGAAAATCATGTGCCGACTTATTGTGGGGATTCGTATCCATTCATTAAATTCAGAAATAATAATACCCTGTCAAAATTTTGAACATGAAAGCAAAATGGTCCCTCACAGCTGGCAACTTTTTTTCACCTCAAATGAATTTGATGTTCGTGTGTGACTGACTGAGTGTGTGTGTGTGTGTGTAGCTGAATTAGTGAGTTTTGAGCTAATTTCACTTCTGAAACAAACTGAATAACTCAGTTTCAACTAATTAAAATTGCATCAGAAGCGAAAGCAAGATCTTACGTTACCTTTTTTGCTCTTCTTCCTTTCCAAAATTTTTGGCTTAGAAGATAGAAACAACCAGTCTTTACAGTCAAGTCTCAAGGAACCCACGTTGCAACAAAAAGCAAAAGTAATGTAATAAGCGTATCTAATCTACAATTAGAATAAAATAGTGCACTCTTAGATTCTAAAGAAGAATAAAGGAAACTGAACTCTCACTCTAAAAGACATGCTGCGAACAAAAACATAAATTACATTTAAAAAAAAAAGCACGAATAAATGCCCAAAAAGGGAATGAACTCGGAACACAAAAAAGTGTTTATGACCACAAAGGAATTTGAACACAAAATCAAAGCTTCAACAAAAACACAGCCAAAAATTTGATCACACAAAATCCTCAAAACAAAATACAGGGGAACATTGTTCCAAAGGCTGCTCTGTCTTTTTCTTTTCACAGGACAATTGTCTTTAGGAATGAGAATGAATCCCTCTACAATGCTAAAGTGTTATAAATGCTCAAAGATTATTAAATTCTCGCACCTGCCTATGCATGACAGATGTACCGATTAAATTTTTGTTTTCAAGAATTACTACCAGACACCAATAAAATGGGCAAAAATCAATTAGTGCAAACAATGGACTGAACTACAATAGAATCTTATAGATTTAGTCCAAAAAACTTAATGGAGGTATGAATTAGTTCAGTTATAATCATTGATTTTTAGGAGTTACCACTTACCACTAAATAAACCTATAAATTTAAGATTTAACTAGTCAATTTGAGTGTGTGAAGACAAAAAACATCTTTGGAAAAACTATATTCAATTGAGTTTGACAATTCTTGAGCATGGCCTAGTCAGATAACTATATCAAAAAGAATTAACTTGTGATCAAGTCAATCATGAGAGGAAGTATTAAGACACACTTTTCCGTTGCTATAGAAATCTTTATAAAATCACCGCTTCTCGGGTATGCATGTAATTCCAGATTGAAAGGAAAATAACATGCAACAATGTATCATTAAATAAACAAAGGTGGGTGTGGGCGATCAATGCATGAGTCCAAGCAAATTATTCACATTTCACACAAATTCCTAGAACAATAGATAGAGAGCCCCCAAGTAAGAGACTCTGATGAACGAAAGGACTAAGGGGAAACAAAGGGATTGTAAACAGCTGGTTTCTGTAATATCTAAATGAATTAATAAACGAGAACTATATTATGCATCCCAAAAACCAGGGCCATGATGAAATAATAATGGAGGTCTCACTTCAATTAGGTATCACGGTGGGGAATATCCACAATCGGGGTCTGTTATTGATTGAATCTTCTCTTCCTCTTTCTCTAAACTAGCACGACAAATCTCCTCAATTCTGCTCGCCACCACATCCATTGAGGGTCGATTGTCAGGATACTGTTCAGTACATTCGAGTGCAAGCTGCAAAAGCTTGACCATCTCCTCCTCAACATTCTGGTATCTGAGAAGCTCCATGTCAAATACCTCAGTGTTCCACTCCTCTTGAACAATAGATTGAACCCATCTTGGGAGGTCCACCCCTTCTTCATTCAACGAGGAATGTGTTGGAGCTTTCCCAGTAAGCAGTTCCAAGAGCATTATGCCAAAGCTGTAGACATCGGCCTTTTGGGATACTTTGCGAGCATCTGTTACCTCCGGGGCTCGGTAACCAGAAACTCGGTTCGGGGTTGAAGTTGGGAGTGCGAGATGAGCAAGGCCAAAGTCAGAAACACGAGCTTCAAAAGATTTGGTGAGAAGGATATTTGATGACTTGATATTTCCATGGACGCAGATGGGCCATGTGAGTGGAGGTAAGCAATTCCACGGGCAGCACCAAGGGCAATGCGAGACCTTGTTTCCCAGTTTAGTGGAGTTCTGCCAGCTCCGTTATTTGCTGTAACGGGAAATCAGCAAGATTTGTAATGAAGCGGATTAACATTGTCAAATAATGAAGCTGCAAGTGATAAAGTATTTCAACAGAAATAGTGTTTATTGCATGAAGCGTTGCAATTAGAATTAGTCCAAATGCACACAGGATGTGGAAATAGAGACATACGGATACCAATATGACTTGTGACAAAATCAGTCTCCTTGCGACAGCGCACAATATCATGGAATAACTTCAAAATCTTAGAAATTATATTGACACTTATCGGCATTATCTCTAAAGAATTTCATATATTATTCTAAGTACAACCATGAGAAACAATATTTTGCTGAGATCACATTGTAGCCTGGAACATCAAGATCAAGAATGAGCTAAGATACACTGTCATTCTAGAACAGGCAGAAAATTCAGGTTCATCTGAAAATGCTTAAGACATAAGATTAAACTCTCTCTCGAATGGATATAATGTTTCACCAAACATGCAAGCGATTCTACAGCTGATATCATATTAAAGGTCATTTCCAGTTATGCAGAAACAACAATGAACACCCAACAGCCACAATACGCGATGCAAAAACGAAAGATCTGACTTATGCAGCCTTATCTAGGTAAGTCTATGGCGTGGAAGTTGGAGTTAAAACTTGCATGAAATGAAATTTCAAAACATACACGAAGAGACATAATGTAACAGAGTAGACAAAAGAACGGGCATCATTATTCACTTGACTAGAAAAGAAAGAACAAAATTATGAGAGAGAGGACCAGAAGAATGTTGTACCAAAAATGAGAACTAAGCAACAAGATGCTTACCGTGCAAAAGAGCAGATAGGCTTCCCATGGGCATGTAATCATAGGCAAGAAGCTTTTCTTCGTTGCTATAATAGTAAGCTCTGAGCGGGACTAAGTTATCATGAACCATCTTTCCTACTTGCTCAATTTTCTCTCTGAATTCGTTTTCGGCTGCAGTTACATCCTTCAACCTCTTCACTGCCACCACCACCCCCATTTCCAAAGTAGCCTTATATGTGGTTCCAAAGGTGCCTTTCCCCAGTACTTCAGCTGATGCCCTTAACAAATCCTCAAGATCAAACACTCTGCTGACATTACCAAAAAAGACCAATCTCTTACTCCTACCGGTCTTAGCATCACCACCTCTGGCTGTTGCTGAAAAACTTGCTCCAGAATTCTCAATATCTCTAGTTGTCTTTTCTTGAGGAATTTCAACCTCGACGTTCTTACCCGGTGTTATATCCCTCGAATCCTTGTCTTTACTTTTCCTTTTTCCGCACAAGAAGAACAGAAGAAGTAAAATCAACAGAAGTCCGACCACTGAACCAATTACAATTCCTGCAATTGCTCCACCTGATAACTTCTTCTTCTTCTTCGTCGTCCCACCCTCCGTTCCAGCGCATTCTTGTAAGGGTTTCCCGCAAAGAAACAAATTCCCCGAAAATGCACTCGCGTCTCGATCAGAAAACTTTGTGGGAATGGAGCCGTTGAGCCGATTCGACGAAACATTAAACTGATCAAGAGGAGCAGTCAAGTCAGGAATGGACCCAGTGAGCTGGTTGTTGTCCAAAAGGAGGGTATCCAACCTTGTGAGGTTATTAAATTTCGGCGAGATCCCTCCACTGAAATTGTTTTTAGCTAAATTCAAACGAACCAAGTTCTGCATACCATAAAGGAAATCAGGGATTTCTCCAGAGAAGAAATTCCCCTGCAAATAAAGGTTTCGAAGGTTAACAAGATTAGCAAAGTCGCTCGGAATCGGCCCAGAGAGCGCGTTGTAGCGAAGAGACAGAGTCTGGAGCTCAGTGAGGTTCCCAATTCCCAGTGGAAGTCTCCCAGAAAGACCCATACCAGGAAGCCGCAACGTAGTGATCCTGTTCCTTGCAGAATTTTCACAGAACACACCCGTCCATGAGCAAGGACTCGTCTGAGAGAGGTTCCAGAGAAGGGAACGGCCACCAACGGCACCACGAAGAGCCACCAAAGCAGCTCTATCAGAAGCTAGATCTGCGCCTACGACGGCGAGCAGGCACAGCGACAAAGCAGGAACCAAGAAGTTAAGCGGCAGCAGAGACTTCATTTTTCTCTGCAATTAAAAGAGCGACTTTCCGCTAATTTGTAGCCTTCGAGTAGAAACAATTTGCTAACAAATCAGTGCCATTTCGAAGCACAACACTATTTTTTCTTTTTTGAACTATATTTTCCACTTTCCGCTTAGCTGCGAAGAAATAAGCGAAACGGAAAGAGAAAAACAAAAACAGAGAAGGCGTTAGGGGTTATTTTCTCAGTGGCACAGAGAGAGAGAGAGAGAGAGAGAGAGAGAGAGAGAGGGTGGGTGTCATGAATTTGAATACGTGAAGGTTAAGACGAGAGAAGAGAGAGAAGAATCGCAGAAGGAAGGAGCGTGTGACTTGTGAGGGGGCATAGAGAGAGAAAAAAAAAATGGTACAATTTATCACCGCAAATTCAAAATTTAAACTAAAAAAAAATTAGGTGCAAAAATAAAAGGGACGAATGGTTTCAAGCTGAAAGCTACAAGAAATAAATCAAACACGGAAGACATGTATCCGTTTATACCGGTTTCGAACGCAAACTAACAATGTAGAAACCCATTGAAGTTGGTAAAAAGAGAGCAAATGTTTTTTGTAATTATCAAATCAGAACCTTTAATTAAAGATTTGCTAAAGAAGAAGTTCGGCCAACAAAGGAAGTTGAGCTCTTGAAACAGAGAACTCACAGTAACATAAAGCCGGTAATTCGGGTGGGCCGAACTTATTCGGATCGGATTTATTCAGATCAGACTTAAAGTATCCTACCCTTTCTAAAAAGCCTATATAGCCAAACTCGGCCCTAACGCCTTCGGGCTTCGGGCTTATTCGGGCTGGCCCGAATACCCGAAATTTTTTAAAAATATTTTTTCTTTATTTTTTGAATCACTTTTAATTTTTAAATAATTTTATTAAGTGTAAAATATTATTTTAATTTTCAAAGAATAAAATAAAAAATAACTTATCAACTTTGTATTTAAATAGCTCTGTTATTATTTTATTGTATTATGTAATATGGATAATTTATTCATGAATGTTTACTTTACTTGTAAATTAATGTCTTAATTGTTTAAATATTATTTTTATCATAGTCATATATAAATATTTTATATATTTAATTAAATTATATTATTTTAATTATGATTAAGTTAATCTCAATTCAATCACAGTTAAACTATTAACTTAAAATTATTATCCCGATTAGTTCAAAGTTTTTAATAACTTTTAGGTAAATTATATTTTTTATTTTTATAAATATAAAAAAAATTGCCATCATTATATTATAAAAAAAATTATTTAATTATGAGTAAAATATTATTTTTTTGAAATCATTGTTCTTTAACTTTTTATATTGCTTAACTCTTACATAAAAGGGATTCTTACTCTAGCTTACTCTTAATTTTTAACTAAATCTAGCATGGACAATAATCAAGTAATTATTCAAGAATATTATTCTATTTATTATATTTATCTAGTAGTAGAGTCGGGAATTCGTACATGCCTAAATTTTATTTTTAAAATTATTTTTAATTTTATTTTTACTTTAAAATTAATTATCTTAATTTATAAAAAATATAAAATTATTTTTTTATATGCAAATGATTTATAGGACTCAAAATTTTTTTAACAAAAATTGGGTCTTAAAATATTAAAATCAATATTTAAATATATTTTAAATATTATTTTGAGATATTTTATTGATTAAAAATAATAAAAATATGAAATATAACTATTTTTAATTTTTTTAAAAAAATAACTACATTAAAACACTTATATATAGTATTTTGATATAAAATGATATAAAACTTAAAAAATTAATTAATATTTATCACATTTTATATATTTTTTAAAAAATTTAATTTTTTTATTCAGGTATTCGGGCCAAGCTCGAATCTGATTGGGCTTGGCCCGAATTTCCTCGGGCCTATTCGGGCCGCCCAAATAGGCCCGAACAATAAAAAAATAATATTTTTTAGGTTTGGCCCTAAATTTTTCAGGTGGGTTCAGGCTAGTCCGTCGAGCTCGACTTAAATTACCAACTCTACAGTAACATGAGTCATGGTCAACGTCTAGAGTAAGGTTGCACGAAGGTAAATAATCTCGAGATCTTTCAAATTAGTAAATTTGTGCTTCGATCATACAATCATCACAACTTGCCATTATCCTTAAGAACTAAGATTTTAATCATATTAAATAGCTTTTGCTTTTCATTCAAATTTGGACTTGAAATTATTTTACACATGTTTTTGTCTACAAATTTTCAGATTAATTTTAATTTTTCATTTTTTATATTGTGAGCCATACAAAATATAAGATATTTCATTTCATTCAGCTTATATATCATTGGTTAATATTGATACTCCCTCCGGTCTCATTTATAAGTCTCATTTTAGAAGGTGTATTTGGTCTCATTTATAAGTTATGGTGCGTTTTTTTAGATAATATTTGAGAGGTATTTCCAAAATTACCCTTCATGAGAGAGAAAAAGTAACAGGATATTACTTTTTAGATTTGTTATATAGGGGCATGTTTGAAATTTTACTTACTTTTATTCCTTGTACTTTTATTGTATTGGTATTGATGAGGTTGGTAGAAATGATTTATAAATAGGACCGGAGGGAGTATTTCCTAATTTTATTATAAGGCATTTTTTAAAAGATTTTTTTATTTTTAATATAAAACATTTGATGGGATATTAGTTATATTTTGTAAATATTATTTCTATTTAAACTCATTAATTTTAAAACAGAATGCAATGCAAAATTAATTTTTTTCATTTAAATAGTAAAAATTTATTCTATTTTTATATAAAATTAAAGGACTAATTATTTTTTTTTCATTGATAAAGTAGTTAGATGTTCATTATAATAGAAATTGGAGGAATATATTTGGGTAACATAAATACTGTGTCTATATGTATGAGAGTATATTAATCTAGGTCAATTCCCTTAATGTGTTTTCTGAATAAATTCAGGTCACTTTAAAATTATTAATCACTTAACACTTCAACTTACATATATCTAATATAATAATATTGGCTCATACTCATAAATTATTAGTCAAATTCATTCTGATGTATTGAGCTTTATGAAAAGATAAGTGCAGATCATGTTTTAAATGTTAATATGATAGAAGTAAGATATTAGAAAATTAAGTTTTCACAGGAGAGGGAAAAGTTTTGACTTTTGAGAGATATGTTTAAGAAAAACATGAATTTTTTTTTTTTTCTGAATCGAGTCACAAGTGCATGGAGGTGCGTAGAACAGAAAGGTACAACGCGGCTGACTGACTGACTCGAATTCCTAATAAACGATTAAGGAAGCTTCTATGTGGACCCCACCTAATTTGAATTGGCCAATGGCAGGCGAGATTTGGAAGGCGGCTTTGCTTCGGTGGGAGCGCGTCCTAGCGTAAGCTTCAAGCTGGATCCTTAACAAAACTTTGTTTATTATATGTGCGTGAGAGTACCAATCCGATCATTATTTAATGGCTAAAATAATAGATTAAATGATTAATTACGTTGTTTAATATGCAAAGATTGATTTTTTCCGTTGACTCGTACCGTTTCACTTGACCATCGGATAAATAATAATGACTCTGCCATATATGTAATTAATTGATTAATTACGTTTTAAGATTGCAGCGGTTTCGTAGCATGCAGTTTCCATTTTTCTTAAGGTTTTCAATGAGGATTTTTTTTTTTTTGGGCCAGGATTTTCGATGGGGATCTACAATTTCACTTTCTTACTATGATAATTGCTTTTTAGGTAAGTGTGCCTCTTGATGAGAACTGAAGAAGAAGCACGAAGATCTCGTTTGTTGCATTGCAAGTGTCCAAAGGTTCTCTTCATTATAATAATAGTAATTATAGCAATTGTACCTATAATGATTATCGGATATGGATTTTTATTTCTTTAAAAAATATAAATCACACTAACTAAGTAACTTAATATACTATATATTTTGATTGATATTACACAGCTGTCTAAGAAATATAGATTTGCCACAATTTTATTAAAAAAGTATTATACACTTCTTTTATTTTGCCAACAAATTCATGAGATTGTTATATTAAATATAAAATTCTTAACACGCCATTTTTCACTCCATACAATTCATGAAAGGAAAAAAATTTGTATACTTAATCTTATATATTTAAGGTACTTGTATCCAATTAAATTAAGATATGTAAATCTTTTATAAATTATTTATTTTATAATAGATTTGTTATTGATTAAACTAATATATTAAGAGACACATATCATGATTTAATTGGATATAAGTATACCAAGAATATAAAATTAAGTACATAAGTTTTGTCCTTCATGAAAAATGTGTTTTGTTATTAAACATTAAATTTGGAATTACTTTGCGGGAAAAATCTAATTTTTTTCAGTCCTTATTTGTTTTTCCCATATCAAAATAATCTCTTCATCAAACAAATTAAAATAAGTTAAAAAAAATAGTGAGCATGAGGTAAACAATGATTCAATTTACACATGTTGTTAGAGTTGTCAATTAGAATCAACCTTTGAAAGGTTAGGATTCAAATGGGCTAACCTTGATACGCATGATTATATCTCAAAATTCCCTTAAGGGCTAACTCTAGCCTTGGTTATCAAGGTTGAAAAGCTGGCTCTATTTTTTTGCTTTTTCAATTTAAAAATCTAAAAAATATATATATTTATGATTTTTAAAGAAGTGATTACATAGGAAAATAAATTTAAGTCAATTCACATCCTAACAAATATAGAAAACTTAAACATTTAGAATTAATATCAACTAGCAATATTAAAATTAACACCAATAAAAATTAGACTTAACTAATTTTATTAACTAAATTTTAATAAATTAATAAGGGAGAGACGAATAAGTATAAGCTATTCATTTTTTTTAGTTAAATATTTAATCTTCTATCTTTTTTAGATTAAAATTTTTAAAAAAATAATAATAGGACTTAAAAGGGTCAATCTTAGTTCTAAAGGATCGACCCTTTTATTTTCAAGCTTAAAAGTATTAAGATCTTATAACAATTATTTTTTGCTCCAAAGTACTTACTCGGCTTTAGCTATTTTCAGGTTTAAAAGGGATGAATTGACAATTTTAAGTATTGTTTTCTTGGCAAACATTTATCTTTACATAAATTTTTATCATTTTGCTTTATTATACAACCATTCAAACAATGAATTATTAAATTACTAATTACGAATTACTAATTCAGGGTACCAGCATTAATATATTAAATCTTATCAAAACT